AACTGTCCCCCTCTTACAATGCTGTGATTGCTAGTATCACTCAGCCCCCTGTGAATAGTAAACAGCCATCAGTGTGTTAATGATCCATTGTTAGGCTGATGGTCCTTCTTGATCATGTGATCAGCTGGTTTTGGTTGTCAGCAGCAAAACTGGTTGATCCACTCTGAGAAGGTGCTATTTAAGAGACTGAGCTGAAAACAGCACCTCAGACTGAAGAAGTCTCTCAGACGAGAGACGAAACGTTTCTACATTTTTTGTTGTTTTGCTTTGTTTTGTTTTTTTGAATGTCCAGAGGACCAGATTTAACTTTTTTAGATCCATCCATTTTCTTTACCCGCTCATTCCATTTTGGGTCACGGTGGTCACCGGTGCCCATGTCCAGCAATCACTGTGCGAGGGGCGGGGTACACCCTGGACGGGTCTCCAGTCCATCACAGGGACACGTAGAGACAAACGAGACAAACAACCATTCACTCTCCCACTCACACCTAGGGACAATTTAGAGTTACCAATCAGTCTAACATGCATGTTTTTGGTCTGTGGGAGGAAACTGGAGCACCTGGAGAAAACCCACACATGCATGGAGAGAACATGCAAACTCCACCCAGGAAGGCCCCTGGACCGGGGTTCTGTAGAACAATGGACTCTAAATGACCTTTGATCCGTCACAGATTGACGGACAGCAGCGGCTGCTCCTCTGAGGTCATTGCTGATGTCTTTCCATCCTGATGTTAATCAGCATCCCCTCTGAGATCCGCGTGCAGCAGGACTGGGACCAGTTGTTACTGTTTCTTGTTTCTTTTCAGATGTCAGAGACCAGAGAACGTGTTGCAGCTAAAGAACGTTTCACCCAGTCCAAGATCCTGAACCTAGAGACCCAGGTCAGCAGGACCACCTCAGAAACTGAAAAGCTGAAACGCAACAAGGAGGAGGTAAAGGTTTGAATCCTTGCCTGACTCCAGTTTTATGTCTTCAGGCATACAAAGTGTTGTTAAGCTGCGTGTTTCTGGTTCTCAGGTTGAGAGGCGGTACCAGAGCCGACTGCAGGACCTGAAGGACCGCCTGGAGCAGTCGGACAGCACCAACCGAAGTCTGCAGAACTACGTGCAGTTTCTTAAAGCATCATACGCCAAAGTTTTTGGTGATGTGGCCCTCAGTGGCTCTCTACGGGCCCCCTCACCCATCTGACTGCTTTACATGAAGAACCTGATCTATGAGGTGGAGACCAGAAGCAGAGCATCTGCTTGATTCTTCTCAGACTCAGTGAGCCTGTTGGTGCTTCTGTTTGCTCCTCGGTGTTTTTATCTGCTGTGCAGCAAAAAGTAAGGAAATTCATCAAAGGTGTTAAACTGAACTTATTTTGTACTTTTTATATAAACTAAACCACTTGATCTAACAAAGTAGAGTCAGGTCCTCTGGGCGGATTCTTCTTGTTGAAACGTTTCGTCTTTTACCAAAAGACTTCTTCAGTCTGAGGAGCTGCAACAAACTCAGTCTTATAAATAGCACCTTCTCATAGTGGATCAACCAGTTTGTTGTTGACGTCCAGAACCAGCTGTTCACATGATCAAGGAGCACCACCAGCCTAATGATTGATTGTTAGTGCTCTGATGGCTGTTTACTATTCACAGAGGGCTGAGTGATACTTGCAATAACAGCATTGTAAGAGGGGGACAGTTGAACCAGGAGGCCTCCACCCCTGTTTAATGATGGACGGCTTCTTTTCACAAAGATGGCCTCCTTTAGTTGGCTGTTTAGTTTCCCCGATGTAAGACTGATCACCCTCCTGATACTGAACAGCATACACAATATTACTCTGTTTGTGCCAGGGGACTGGATCTTTGGGATGAATCAGTCTTTGATGTATTTTGGGGTTTAAAAGCCACTGGGACGTTGTGTTTAGAAAATAAACGTCTCAGTTTCTCTGATACCCCCTCAACATACGGAATGAACACTGGTCTGGGTCTGGGTTCCTCCTTTTCACCTGATGGCTGACGAGTCCTGTTTGGGTTTCTTCTCTGCTACATCATCAGGCCAGGACTCTGCGGTCTACACTCATCTCCAGGCCAGCGGTCACTCTTTCAAGGATGAAGATGTTCACATCCTGGACAGAGAGGAACGATGGTTTGAGAGAGGAGTAAAGGAGGCCATCTTTGTGAAAAGAAACCGTCCACCATTAAACAGGGGCGGAGCCTCCAGGTTCAACTGTCCCCCTCTTACAATGCTGTGATTGCTAGTATCACTCAGCCCTCTGTGAATAGTAAACAGCCATCAGGTGCTAATGATCCATTGTTAGGCTGATGGTCCTTCTTGAGCATGTGAGCAGCTGGTTTTGGTTGTCAGCAGCAAACTGGTTGATCCACTCTAAGAAGGTGCTATTTAAGAGACTGAGCTGAAAACAGCACCTCAGACTGAGGAAGTCTCTTGGATGAGAGACGAAACGTTTCTAGAATTTTTTTTGCTTTGTTTTGCTTTTGTTTGTTTTTGAATGTCCAGAGGACCAGATTGAACTTTTTTGGAATTGACTTTCTAATGTTTTCTGACTTTATGGAGATGAATCTTTGGAGCATTCACAGTTTGTCTCTTTATAGCTACACCTCTAGAATACATATGGTTTACTAGTGATTTAACAATACGCTGGTTTACTAAAAACTCATGACGTAATTGCAACAGGAGAATAATTAGCAGGAGAAGAATAATGAACTCGTAACTTCTCTATTAGATTTATGCTCTGAGGGTGTATTTTTTTTACATTTCCATAGATATAAACGTGATCAGATGTTTGCAGCAGTCCAGAGTTCTTCTTCAGCTTGTGAACAGATCTGCTGAGCCTTGTGACGCAGGTCATCTGATGGTGTCATGGCCAAACTCTGGCAACACCAGTAAGCAACTTACAAGAGTTATTTACAGATACATGTCTCCTGGGAAACCTGCAGGAAAAATCTACTCAAAGAAATCTTGTTTAAATGAGTTCTGAACAAAGAATAAACTAAATAAAGGTGGTCAAAGTCAACTTGGCTGAATCTTTTATCTCAAATATGTTGGATTATTTATATTTTTGCAGTTTTCATAAATTGCTGCATTTACTTGTCTTTTGTGACTAAAATATCATCTTTACCTTTACCTTCCTGTGGGCCCACCACCTGTAAGAGGGGCCATAAAAGTCGGGTGCACGACTCCAGGGGCAGTGGCCGAGGACGAGGGCCTTGGTGCTCTGATCCTGGCTTACCAAAGCTGGCTCTTGGGACCTGGAACGTAACCTTTCCAGCGGGGAAGGGTCCTGATTTTGTGCATGAGGTTGAGATAGAGCTTAATTTGTAAACCGATCAATGCTGGAACGCAAATAGCGGGCGGGCTAGCAAGGGGGAGATCTGTTTTTATTTTTGTTCATAACTCTATTAGTAAACCTGAGAGTTACCGGTTTCAAGCCGGATCCTAGCAAACAGTTACCAGTCTGGAACAAACCCTGTCAAAATAAGAGTTCCCAGATCCTGTTCTGACAGGCTCAAATTAAGCACTAATTTAGAGGTACCGACTAGATAAAGTTCCGCTCACCTCGACACATGGCATGGGCTCGATAACCAATCTCCTTGAGAGGGGCTGGACCTTATTCAACTTTGGAATTGCCTATGGTGAGAGGTGCCGAGCTGGTGTGAGTCTAATTTTAGCCCCCTGACTTGGTGCCTGTGTGTTAGATGAAAGGGTAGCTTCACCGTGCCTTCGGGTGGGGGGATGGGCTCTGACAGTTGCTTGTGCCTACGCGCCTAACAACCGTTCAGAGTATCCAGCCTTCTTGTAGTCCTGAGAAGGGCTGCTGGAAGGTGTGCCAGCTGGGGACTCCTTTATTCTGCTGAGGAACTTCAATGTTCATGTGGGTAATGGCAGTGTTACTTGGAGGGGGCGTGACTGGGAGGAACGGCCTCTCTGATCTGAACTCGAGCAATGTTCTGTTGTTGGACCTCTTGTTCAAACATAAGGGTGTCCATATTAAGTGCACTTGGCACTAGGACATCCTGGGTCATAGAATGATGATTCATGTAGTGTCATCTGATTTGTGGCTGGTTTTTATGGACACTCAGGTGAAGAGAGGAGCTGAGCTGTCAACTCATTACCATCTGGTAGCGAGTTAGGTCAGATGGCGGGGGAATATGCTGGACAGACCCAGTAGATCCAAATGTCAAGTGAGGGTTTGCTAGGAAAATCTGGAAGAAGAACCTGTCAGAAAGATCTTCAACTCACACTTTTGGGAGAGCTTTAATTGCATCCCAGCTGAAGCAGGAGACATTTTGAGTACGAGTGGGGCATGTTCTGCGATTCTGTTGAGGCAGCTGCCTTGAACTGTAGCCATAAGGTTTTCAGTGCTTCTCACGGTAGCCATCCTTAAACTTGGTGGTGGACATCCCAGGTTAGGGAGTCTGTCAAGCTGAAGACGGAGTCCTTGTTGGCTGCTGGGACTCCAGAGGTCACTGAGGAGTAGTTGAGGTCCAAACGGTCCACAGCCTTGGCCGTTGCTAAGGCAAAAGCTTGAATGTGGAAGGAGTTCGGTGAAGACTTGGATAGAGACTCTCGGTTGGCTCCAAGGTGATTCTGACAAACCATCAGGCGGCTGAGCAGGGTAAAGCAGCTCTTTACTAAAACTGTGTTCAGTGAAGGTGGGGTACTGTTGACTTCAACCAGTGATGTCGTCGGGAGGTGGAAGGCATACTTCTCTGACCTTCTCCATCCCACTGGCATGTCTTCCATGGAGGATATTGAATTGGGGACTTCGGGATTTGTCTGTCCATAACTGTGGTAAAGAACTGATCCAGTCTTCCACGACCAGGACGGAACCCACATTGTTCCTTCTGGATCTGAGGCTCAACCAACGATCGGACTCACTTCTCCAGTAGCTCTGAATAGACCTTACAAGGGAGGCTAAGGAGAGTGATGCCCCTTATAATTGGAGCACAACCTCCAGTCCACCTTTTTGAACAAGGGAGCCACCACCCCAGTCTTTCAGTCTAGTTGCACTGCTCCCGATGTCCATGTGATGTTGCAAAGGTGTGCCAATCAAGAGAGCCCAACAACAACATCCAGAGCCTTAAGGAAATCAGGGTGAATCTCATCCATCCTTGGAGCCCTGCCGCCGCAAAGCTTTTTAACTACCTCGACAACATCAGCCCTCATTAGGGTCCTCGAGGGGTCATGGGAGTTTGCCAATCTAGTTTACATGTGTTTTGTGGACTTGGAGAAGGCTTTTGATTGTGTTCCTTGCGGTACACTGTGGGGGGTGCTCCGTGAATATGGGATTAGGGGCCCATTGCTACATGCTGTTCAGTCCCTATACAAGTGGTGTGAGAGTTTGGTTCACATTGCTGGTAGTAAGTCGGATCCCTTAAGGGTGGGAGTTGGACTTAGCCAGATTTGCCCATTGTCACCGATTCTGTTCATAATTTTTATGGACAGAATTTCTCGGCGCATCCAGGGTGCGGCGGAATTCTGGTTCTGTGACCTCAGGATTCCTTCTCTGCTCTTTGCAGTTAATATGATCCTGTTAGTGCCATTGTGCCATGATCTCCAGCTCTCACTGGAGTGGTTCACAGCCAAGTGTGAAGCAATGGGATTAGGGCTGAACAATTAATTGCATTTGCAATAATATTGCGATTTGATAAAACGCAATTTTTTTAATCGCAAAGGCTGTGATTTGACTGGTCACATGATCTGGTTATGTGACTTACAGGTGAGCGGAATGGAGCAAAGCAGAGCAGGTAGCAGGATAAGTCAACACTTCACTTTAACCAGTTGTACAATGGAGTCAGACTCAACAGAAGCTGATGCAGTTGAAAGTTTGGTACTGTCATGATTGGTGCTGGTGAACCCACTTGTGCAGATGAGGACTCAAGATTTATATATAAAAATAAAAGATTTATTAACAAAATAAAGAGAGCTGACAGGGCAGCAAAAACAAACAAGGATGGACAGGTGGTACTTACAAAACAGACAGGTCATCAACAGTGAGCAGTAGACAATGCCAGGACCACGACTAACACAGAGACACAGACTTATATAGAGGGAAACACCAATCAGACAAAGTGAAGGCACCTGTGAGTGATCACAGATGCCAGGAGGCAAAGACTGAAGACACAGGACATAAACACGACACAAGATGGGACTAGACACCAAAGAAACACAAACCCTATAGAGACATA